GTCGCCGGCGACTCACGGCAGCCCAGCTCCAGGTTGAGCTGTTGTTCAGCATCTTAGCTGTAGAGGGCAGTGTCACTGGCCCTCATATGTGGGATCTGAACCAGGGCCCTCTGGCATCCCAAGCCAGCTCTTAACCAATGCGCCACTCGGCCGGCCCCTTGAGTTTTCTTTTTTTAAAAGCTGCATGGTCCTCTCTGGGTTGACAACTGGGACTTCAATGTTGTATTCAATGAATCTTTGACATGACATATTTTAGAACTGGCAGCTGTTCAGATGCGTTTAGTCCCCTCTGTGATGAGTCAGTTACACACGGGCTTTTGTTTCCTGAGAATTTCCCCTCTTTCCCCAATTCTGGCCTGTCTCCAAAACCACTTCCTTCCACAATAGTCACGTTTCTCTGCACAGGTATATTTGTTCAGAAAACAGATCTCTAGACAACCTCCCAAATTAGAGGATCTCAGAATACCAGAGCTGGAAGATCCTGAGAGATGTCTCAGTCAGGGATGAGAAATCCGAGGCCAGAGAGGATAAGAGACTTGCCCAAAGTCACAGAAAATTTTCAGCAGAGCTAGAATTAACACCCTGGCTTTGCGACAGCTCGTCCTGTTTCCAGGTCCTATTCCATGAGGTTTCTCATCTTCACAGAGCTAATTTCAAGGCAGGGAGCAAATTATTCCCATCTTTCTCACTAATCAAAGAAAGTGAAGAACACTGTATTTCAAACACTTGAATAAACCTGATGACATTAGAAAGCGAATCTTAAGTGGGAAAATCACAGCGCAAGCAACAAAACGAGTTGATGGGAGCAGACGCGAAATAGACAGGGCTAGTGTGGATCTAACTGCCTATAATCTCCAAAAGCATCAATGTGAGGCCCACATAAGGCCCCCAGGGACCCATCACATACAGTGACGGAGTAGGCAGCGGTTGACAATGGGCCCAAGCCAGAAATGATCCTTTGGGCTTTCTCAATAATGACACTCCAATGGGAAAGTAAGCATACAGAAGATGTGACATTCAAAATTTTCAAAAAGGAAAATTAAAAAAAAAACTATACAGATTTTGCTTTCAACAATTCTGACCTTTTTTTTCCGCCTATTTTCTTCTGGCTTTGAGTGAGCCAAGAATATAATCAATAGACTGGGGATCCTGACATTGCCCCAGAAAAAGTTGGGCCAAAAACCAGTAACCTATTTATCCATTGGAGTAACCGGTTCTCTTCTTCCTTTACCACCATCTTGATGTCATCATCACTTCAGGCTACAGTGCTCTTCATCCTTGAAAAGTGGTGGCATTGTCTGGCCTTTAGGAAAGTGGCCTGCTTTCCTGACCTGTATCGTTTTTTTAGTCTGGTAAACCAAGACTGTTTCTAATTAAGTTTAAATGGAAGCTTGGCTCCACTGTGGGGCCTATGGCGGAGAGGTCTGAGCTGTATGCCAGATAGACAGCTCTAGTCCCACCTCCAGAAGTCCCAAAGTAGGTTTCAGATTTCACTGAGTCTAAGCACTAAGGCTTAGAATTGATCTGAAATCAAGGGTCAGGGTTGTCCTTCTTTATCTGTTTGTGTGAAATCAATATTCTTATAAACATTATTTACTTATCACTTCCCTTGGGGGTTTCTAGGTATTAAAACGAGGTTTCATTTATGGTCTATTTTTTTTTCCATTTATAACAATCGTTCCTGAGCCTGACCATGCAAAGGAATTACTTAGAGTACTCTTTAAAAAACATCAATTACAGGGCTGGCTGAGTGGCGCGATGGTTAAGAACTGGCTTGGGATGCCAGAGGGCCCCGGTTCGGATCCCACATATGAGGGCCAGTGACACTGCCCTCCACAGCTAAGATGCTGAACAACAGCTCAACCTGGAGCTGGGCTGCCATGAATCGCTGGCGACGGCGTAGGCTGCAGCCCCTGTGGCAGTGGGTTGCCATGGGCTACCGTGTGTAGCCAGCAGCCAGCGTGAGCGGCCAGCAGCCACAGTGAGCGGCCGTCCAGAAGCCGGCGACTGATCTGCCTCACCGGGAAGAGCGCAATGATGGTGCCAACTTGGGCCAGTGAAGCAACGTCCTCCACAACTAGACTGAAGAACAAAACGACAGCAACTTGTCTGTTCCCCTTCCTCCAATTCCCCAGCACTGTTCCCATCCTCCCAATTCCCCAATAAAAATCTTAAAAAAACACACAACACAAAAACCCCCATCAATTACAGGGCTATTCACTGGGGAGTCACTGAATCAAAATTTCCTGGGAATGAGGCCTGGGAACTGTAATTTTGCAAAGCTTCCCAGGTGGTTCTAATACTCAGGATTTAATAGTCTAGTTACATATTTCCTTCCTTCTTCTTCCCTCCCCCTTCCTTCCTTCCTTCCTTCCTTCTTTCCTTCCTTCCTTCCCTCTCTTCCTCCCTTCTTCCCTCCCCCCTTCCCTTCTTTTTTCCTTTCTTCCCTTCCTCCCTCCCTCCCTCCTTGTGGACTGCCCTCAAAAATCTAAGCACCACATATAAGAGTTTGGGAAGGGAGACAACATTCTCAGTTCCAAAACACCTCCAATTTACAATTAACGTTTGGAAGAAAACATGTCTCTAAAGCTGGAACTTCTTGTATGGCTACTGGCACTGTAAAGAATTTTAGAATCAGAATTAGAAAGGTGGTTATGTTCTTTCTTCTTGAAGATATCTAAGGAAATAGACACACGTCTAATTCTCATGCTTTAAATTGTTATCATATTCAGAATAGCCCAGACATAGAAAATTTTTGACGTGGCCTAAATTCTACATATGCTTGAAGTTCTGAGCTACGTTGCTACTTTCTCTTCTTGTTCTAAACTAAATGACCCAGATTTCCCTTCATCTTTCCTTGTAGGCATTCTCCCTGTTCTTTGATTACTATTCTCTCTCTTGGTCCTTCAGGTTCTTCAAGCCACTCTTGGTTCACCAACAGGGACTAAAATACCTTCAAGGCACAACTGTACTAATATACTTTACAGTTTGAAAAGAGTCCATCTATCTCTTTAGGAGAATCTAATTTGTTGCTGGGAAGGGACTTAGACTAGTGGACCCAAATCTAACGCTTTGCTTCAAACAAAGTTTTGTTTAGAATGTCTTTGTTTAGTGGTCCGGCTGCATCTGATCTGTAGACAGTTTCTGGGATTCTTATTATATAAAGATCAGATTGTGAATTTGGTCTCTAAGTGCTCAATGCTGCCCCACCCCAAATCTGAACCACGGTTCTTGCTGTGACTAGACTGTGCCCAGGCCACTTGGTCCCTAAGGTTTTCCCAAGTTGGACTGGAGAGTAAACTCCCATGCTCCCTCTGTCAGGCAGGGGTCCCCCGATGCACAGTGCACCCATCCCAATTCTTTCATTCAGCACGTAACTGTGGAATGTCTACTTTGTGCCAGACCCATCTGTTGTGATTATGTAAAACCAGTAAGAAAGGGACCAGTAAGAAAGTCTTGTTATGGCTGGAACTTTTAACAAGAGTAAAGACAAAGATGCTGTATCGTGTCAACTGTCACTGTAGCTGAAAGCACCACAGACCTGTCATTTCGAGACTTAAAAGCAAACCCCCCATGAACCATTTCTCTGAGCTGCTTTTTCCTCTCCAGTTTATTGTCAGTGCTTCCAGTAATCCTTGGCTCCCTCATCATGTCTCAAATGCAGTAAGCTGAGCCTCTACTGAGGAGAGAGAACCCCCAAGGCCCAGGCCTCTGAGTTACCTTATCCTGCCCTCTCCCCGTTCTATCCTCTGGGCTTCTAACAGGAAGTCCTTTCCTTTCCTAGGATCCTGGAGGTACTTGTCCTCACAAGCCTATGCCAGTATTTATAGGATTAAAATTTTCTTTTTTCCAATGATACACACACACACACACACACACACACACACACACAACCTTTGTATTCTAAGAAAAAGTGTGTGTGTACACACATACATGTATACATTCACATACATGGATGTGAGTGAAATATACATGTATGTACACATACGCGTATCTCATACAAACTTTTTCTTACCCAGTTTCCCCCACAAGCCAAGTTTAGCCAAACTGCTCTGAGAGCTCTTTAAAGAGCCCAAGCAAAGTAAGGACACAGGCCTCAGGGCCTTTTCCCTTTGGTGCCACGACTCGAGTCCCCTAGGTACTGTCACAGTCTCCATTCACTCTTGGGTATAAATGGCTGGTAGCAAAGTAGCTATGACCTTTTGTGTTTTAACAGAGCTTATAACCTCAGGAGAAAATGATGACGCTCTCTGGGGTGAGATTTCAGGCAGAATTTGGTGGTAGAGGGTAGAGGGGGAGATTTGCTTCTGAGGCATCTACGCTCACCACCTTCTACCGCCATCTCATATCTCTGGCTAGGTGCCCTGGGACCCGGAATGGCTCCAGTTTCCAAGGAAACCTATGTTCCTGCTCCTGTATGAGCCTGGCCAGCCACTGGCCATAGGAAGGTCACTGAAATGTTCAGAGTCTGGCTGAGGACTATAAAGGAAGCAACTCACTGTCTGGGCAGTGAAAGCAAACAATACAAAGTCAATTTTTAGAGCACAGGCACATAACCCACAGGGGTGCCCTCATTCAATGCTCATCTACCCTTCTGTTAAATCCCAAGACCCTTGGCTACAGTTTTCCCATTTCAAACTGATTAAATTTGAACACAGATCCACTAGGGCAGCAACAACAGCTATCAGCCGTTGCCAAAGGAGGAAAAAAGCAGAAGCTGATAAACTCAAAAAGGGGCCCTTGGTGAAGGGGCAAGCTGCTTCCTGAAGACACCACTGAACTGTATGAGAACCCCATACAATAACTAATTAGTACTCAGATGAATAATTCTGGGTTACCTGGAAAAGTTTAAATGGTATCAATGTATGAACTCTGTTTAGGAAGAGAATTCTGAAGCGCTGGGAAAAGGTGACGGCATTGAGTGTGGCCCCCTAGAGGACAGTAGTGGATACTGCACTGTGAAACCACACGCCGGGGGCTGTGGCGGGGAAGCCACCTACCTCTGAATGTTATCTTCAAGTTGTTTGACTCTGAACTCATCCTCCTCAGACTGCCGTCTCCTGGCTTCCTCCTCTTCGGCATTTCCAGCGGGTATACCCTGCAGCAGCCATTTTTCCCGAAGCACTTTGGACTGCGGGAATAAGAGAACAGAACAGACTGGGTGATACCTTTTAGCCCACAGCCTCCTCTCCACCCACAGAGACGCGTTTTAGCACCGCTGCTCAGCAGTGTTCGCCTAAATCGCGGCTTTCGCCTTCTCGCTAACTTCTTCACTGCATCCAACCCCTAGAGAGCCACCAGAAGGCAGGTTAAAACTCCCTAAAAAGAAGAGCCGGGTGAGGAAAGTGTATGAAAGAATTTTTGATTTGGGTTTCTATTATTACAGGGACCCTAGATGCCAGATGGCAGCTACAGGATGTCTGCAGAGGCGGCACCCTGGGCGTCACAGCTGAGTGTCCCCGTGGTCAGGTCACAGGAATGGACCACTATGATGATGAAGGGCCAAGTCGGCTAGAAGCAGGGCACGTGACCGTTCTTCCAGGCCAAAGATACCCGATTCCATAGACTCTCATTTTTACATGGGATTAAGGGCTACTTCTTATGAACCTATTACAAACATTTAGTAAGTCAGAGTTCACTAGTGGTTCTGATTCACCATTCCACCGAAAAGTCTAGCTGCCATTCGGCACTGTGGAGACTGCCAGATGTACATGAGTAAGTTCTGATGGTTGGGATTCTTGCACTTCCAGATGGACTTTTTGTTAGCCACGCATCATCAGTGTGGTTGGTGTCCAGGTAGCCATGGTTTTCAGTGGTGTTTTTCTTGCTTTGTAATTATAAGTCACTGTTGGTGGAGATCTGTTTGGTTACTCTTAGAGTGCATAGCACATTTATAGCACTTGACCTGTAGCTTTCCTTTCATTAAAGACATGAGCCTGTTCATACATAAGTGCTTGCTAACTGTACTGCTAAAATGATTGTAGACGGGAACCACACCCTCATTCCAATATGTTTAAACAGTTATATATCTTTGGTAACATGTTGCCTGTAAACGCATTATAAATAAATAGTTTGCAACTGCCACCAAGTATAAAAACATATTTAAAAATTTATAGAACATTTAAAACAATATAAAATCATGTGTAAAAACTCACAGTATGATTTGTTTACTTGGTTGCTCTCTCTTATAGACTGAACTGTGCCCCCCATTCATATGTTGAAATCCGAACCCCTACTACCTCAGGATGTAACTGTATTTGGAAACAGGGTCTTTAAGGTTAAATGAGGTCCTTGGGATAGGCTCTAATCCAACATGACTGGTGTCCTCACAAGAAGAAGAGATTAGGGCACACACAGAAAGAGGACCATGTAACGACACCTGAGGAAGACAGCCAACTACAAGCCAAGGAGAGAGCATTTGAAGAAACTAACCCTGCTGACACCTTAATCTTGGACTTCTAGCCTCCAGAATTGTGAGCAAATAAATTTCTGTTGTTTAAGCCACCTAGTCTGTGGTATTTATTACAGCAGCCCTAGCAACTACTACAGTCTCCATGGCTTTATCACAGAGATTTTTTTTTCCCCATTGGAAAGTGGGGATGGGTGGATAAATTGGTTGCTCTTCCTAAGTGGGCTACAAAAGAAAAAAATATTCAGAACCACTGTTCTCCATTCAAGCCACTCAACATTCCCCAAACAGACCATGCTCGCATACTGCGAGAGGCCATGTGAAACAGAGCCTCGAGTCTGGAGCCAGTCTGCCATTTACTAGCTGTGTGACCGTGGACAGGCGGCTCCTTAGTCTCACAGAGCCTCAGTTTTCTCATCTGTGAAACGGACATGACAACAGTGCCCATCGCATGCTTGTTATGAGGATTAAATGACTGCCTACACTGAAAGTGTTAAGAGAAATGGTTATTACTGTTCATCCTGTTCTCTCGGCCCCTAGCCCTTTCACCTGAGAAACGGCAGGTAAAATGCCACCTGAGTAGCCTTCTTCCAATTCTGCTGGCAGGACCAGTGGCTCTCTGCTCTGTCTCCTACAGCAGAAAACATACTCTGGAGCACTTTCATACTGCTCTCAAATGATTTCTTTTTAGATCTTCCCCCGCACCCGCTAGAGTCCCAGCTCTTCACACTGGGACTACTCCTTATTCACCTTTGCATCTCACTGTCGCACATCGCCCAGTTCCAGTGAATAAATGAACAAATTGGTGAACCGGAAAGTTCTCGATTTTCTTTCACTCTGATTACTTGGGGGTGGGGGGATGGTGTCACACTTTCAGGGTGCTTCCTTTGACATTAACCTCATTCAACCCATAGAAGGTAAAAACCTTTTTTAGGGTTTGGGGAGGCAGATATGCCGGCAACCTTAGTCTTAGTGTGTGGACCCTTCTAGAATGGAAGCCATGGACAGCCTGGCTTTCTCTGCCCCAGCAGGGATGCTCTGCAGCTAGGGCTTCTTCAAACACAAGGAAGTGGCTGTTCTTGGGAACATTCTCTCTGCTCTCATCACACAGTGCCTCCGGCCACCAAGGGAAGGGTCTAACCCCCTCGTTTCAGGCTGATTTAGCCCCAGCTCATCAGCCAGTACCTCTGACTAAAGCAGCCTGGTGACCATGAACATGGAAAGCCCATATGCCCCTAGATTTGTCTCTTCTCTGGATACGGCAGTGACGTCGCCAAAACACCCCCAACAGCGGGAGCCAGGAAGAGGGGGTCTAACAGAATAAGACAGTAAGCCTAGTTTCAGGGAAGTCTGTTTCACAAAGGTATTCCGACATTACAGAACCAAAAATGCACAGCTGGTTGTTCACTTGGCCCCAAAGTCATGCTTTCAGGGGAAACCACCAATTCAAATACATGTACCTCCAAAGGCTTCCTTAACCCACTGCAGACCCCTTCATGCTGTGTCTGAGGGCGGACTGCATCCAAGCCTCGGGTTAGAAGGCACTTGTGCATTCTGTCATACACACCCACCAAAGCACTGGCTCCCCTCTACTGTTCTAGCTCTTACTGGCTGCCTGAGTGTCTCAGAATTAAGTGACAAGCAGAGCTCAGCAAAAGTAAAAACTAAAAATTTTCATTTTTATGTCCTTATTGTCCAAATAACATACATCAACAAAATGTATCATAACACACAGGTGCTCAGAACTGTCAAAACTTCACATTTGTTAAGTGGATGCAACCGTGAAGCATCAAGACAAGGAGGGCTGGCAGTGGACAGATGGAACCTTGACAGGGCCCCTGAAAGGCAGGGCGATGGAGACAGCTCCTACAACAAATGTGGTTCTTGCTGTCCGGGTCTGTGGACCTTTGGAAAACAAAACGAGAACAGAGCCTCCCAAACTGCAGTATGCCTCAAGGTCAGCAGGAGGCTCACCAACACACAGTATCCAGGGCCCCACCCCCACAGATGCTGATTCCGTAAATCCCGGCAGGGCCTGGGCATCTGAATTTTAACTAGCTCCCAGGTGATGCTGTTGTTGATGCTGCTGGTCTGAGGACCACAATTTGTGTAGCGCTGCATGAAGACCTGTGACTATCCTAATGCCTGAAGAATGCACACGCTTTCCCCCTGGCTGGCCAAACACACTGATCCAGAAAGGACCTCCTTATTCTCTTACACAACTGTTCTCTCCTCCTGCATCCCCATCTCGGGAGCAGTGGTGTCCCCATCCTTTCCCTACATGCCAGACACTCTGCCAGGTCCTGAAGACACCGCTTGGGAAGACAGACAAGTCCCCGCACTCACTGAGCCTTTGTCCCAATAAACAAGGAGGTAAGACAATTTCAGACTATGATATGGGCACGGCAGGATGTAGGCAGGATAATGTGACAAACAGGGACTAAGGGAGGAGACTTCAGGTGGGAAAGGTCTCTTTGATTCTTGAACACTTGAGCTGAGATCTGAGATCCAAATAAGGGCATTCCAGTTGGACGGACTGGCAAACATACACAACAGTCCAGAAGTGGGATGGAATGGTGTGTCTGTGGACCAGACAGCAAACCCCAGTGGCTGCACCAGAATGGGTAGGGGTGGGGAAAAACGGGTAGAACAAGTTGAAGATGGAGAGGAAGGCAGGGGTCAGATTAGGTAGGATTCTGTAGCCTTGTTAAGAAGGAGTTTGGCATTTGTTCTAAGCACAATAGGAAGAAAACAGATTGCAAGGGGGCGGGATTGCTACCGTATTTGCCGGCGTATAAGACGATTTTTTGGCCCTGAAAAATATGCCTCCAAGTGGGGGGTCGTCTTATACGCCAGGTACACTTCAGATAGACTGCCCATAGTGCTTGCCCCGTGCCATAGTGGCCTCCCGATGCCCGCCCACTTCATTCCACATACCGTTCAGGCATCAGCAGCGCTGCTGGGTGTATGCTCGGCTGTGTGCGATTTTGCGAGTGTGGTAAATTCGGGTTACCGTATATTCCTTTACATATGCATTGAAGATTCGCGATTTTGCACTATCATGGTGCCTATTAGAATGTTGAAGAGCTTGCACTTGCGCACTAGTGAGGTCCCAGGGAGATGCTGATGCAAGGGTGGACCAGACTGCTATAGTGACAGGGCGGGCAAACAGGGAGCAGGGACCAATCAAATCAGGCTTTGTATACAGCCAACAGCCAACCACAATACTGCACCATTGTACAGTACAGCATAGAAAATGTCGACCAGTCAAAGCCCTATCATCCCTATCATGGCACCAGCCAAAAGAAAGAAGTATGATGCAAATTTTAAACTGAAAGTTATAAACTTTGCTAAGGAAAATAATAATTGTGCTGCTGCAAGACAATATGGAGTAACAGAAAAGATGGTTCGGGACTGGAAATCAAATGAGAAAGCATTAAAGAGTATGCCAAGGGGTAAGTGTGCATTAAGAAGAGGCACCCCACACTGGCCAGAACTCGAAAAACATGTAGCAGACATGGTGGCTCAACATCGCCAAAACGGTTATGTGGTGACACGAAATACAATACGCTTGTTTGCACTTCAGTGGGCCAAATCAAATCTGATATTGTTTTACCTTTTATTTGGTGTGTGGAAGGTGTGCGGAAGAGGGGGTAGTCTTATACGGCGAGTATATAACAAACTCTGTATTTTGAGTGGAAATGTTAGGGGGTCGTCTTATA